TCACTTTTTTCGATTAATCATTAATCAACGCGATTAGTTGCTGATACCCGGTTGCGTAAGGTATTTTGATAATTAGTATCAACATAATACATTCCCTGACATTCCAAGACCTTCCAAGACATTCCAAGGCATTCCTTGACAAGAACCTTAAACTCTTAAATATGAATTCTTCTCCGTTTTTTCACATTTCCCACTGCACTGCATAAAGCCTTCCTTGATAATTGCTCTAATCAACACAGGCATAATTTATACATTCTAACCAGTAGTTCCTGAGATAAGCGCATTCAAACAAACTAAATGAAACGTCTCCCCGTGACCACGGCTGTTGCAAAGCATCCGAAACGTCGGGCCGAAATTAGAAATCTTTTTCAATAAGTTTAACTAATATATCGCGTTTTAAATCGTTAAAGTGTTTTATTGAAATGTGTACTACTCGCGTAAACTATAGACAGTATTTAGTTTTAAGATAACAAATGAAAGTTACAATTCGCTAACTGTGGTAATGAATGTCCTAACATGTTTATCTCATGCTGACCCCAACACAGCGAAGCGTAAAACGCTTTGAACCTGCATTGGGTAATTTTGAAACATTACAACACAGTTTATTGTGTTCTTAGCGCGGGTAAGGTAACGTCCTATCAAGTTCTTAGCATGTGTTGAATAACTAGAATAGCTAACTTGGCACTTTACGTTTCCACATATTGACTTTCCACAACTGGACGAGCTCCACCCTTTAGAAGAGCTTTAACGAACCGGTAGATGATGGAATAGCTTAGCCAAGGAGGTGTAGAATTAGGAGGCGTCCCTAAATTTAAACATCGGAGCCTCTTAATTACTATGTCATTATGAACATAAATTGCTTAAATAATTACACTAACAAGACTAAAATTAAACAAATTTTAATAAAACACTTATACGCAAGCGTAAACCGTCGCTAAAAAGGAGTTCAGTAATATATTTAGCGTTTTAAACTGTTAAAAGTGTTAAATTTAAATGTGTTTTAATTTACACGAGGTAAACTACAAACAATACTGAACTCTACTCTCTTTTTAATCGTACATTAATGGGTACCTAAACGCATATACTACATACATATAGTATTGATAAGGACATGAGAGGTTCTAAGTTCGAAACCTGGGAAAACAACAAATTGTTTCGAACATGTCACAGAAGTTTGATCAACTTGTCTGTTAATCCGTAAAATAGACATAGATATGTGTTCGACGTTATGAAGAAACGGGGCTTAACTTTATTTATCTATGTATATTAATATATAAATCTTAAGAGTTTGTTTGAACGCGCTAATCTCAGGAACTACTCATTGCCATTGAATTGTGTTGGTTAGAGCATTTATCAAAGAAGGCTATAAAAGATTGCGCCGTGACTAATACGAGCGAAAAACACAGCGGGAAATGTGGAAAAAAGCGGGAAAAATCATTCAACTTTGTGGGTTCCCGATGTGTACGCTGCGAAAACCGTACTAGATACCCAAAAAATATGTATGAAAGAATGATTCCTCTTTAAATGATCTTCAAGAAAGTCCGTGACAGTAGATGTTTATCTTTTAAGATTAACTTGCAAGAACTACGGGACCCTACCAACATGGTGGTTAACACGGGTAAAATTTAAAAAATTTAGGTTTGTAAAAATAAATTTGGAACCCAAATTAACTATTTAACGGACGAAGTCGCTGAGAGAGCTAGTTTAATATAAACAGATGAATCGATTCTTTAACACAAGGAAGTGGGTTTAAGACGATTTCAAAATCGATATTGTGTTGATCGACGAGTGATTCTTCATATAGTTACATAATTTGCTCTAGATTCACGACAATAGATCAATATGATCGTAAAATTGTGTACTAAATAGACTATGTTATTATGGGAGCAACAATTCTGGTGACATACATTTTGTGGCTTAGAGATCGGGAGTTCGATTTCCGCCTGTAACAAATATTAGGTAATGTTTCATTATTTCCTTATAGATATTAACAAATGAGAAATCTACTTGTAGCTTACATGAGTAGTACACATTAAAATAATATCGCGTTTTAATCCGTTAAAGTTCTTTTTTAATCAGATACTGGTTAATATACTAAGTCTATATCTTGGAAATCAAAATACAAATATACAAAAATATGTTTGTACGTACAGATTATTTTTAAATCTGTACGTACAAACATATTTTTGTACGTTTTTCGTAACACAGCACAATTATTTTATAATAAAAGTAATTTCGTTGGAAAGTATATTACACAGAGTTATTTAATTCATGACCCGAAGATGCAATATAAACATTTCGTGACTGTAGAGAAAGCTTAGACACAGAATGCTAAAATCAGTTGGGCATACAAAATAAACGTTTCGCTTTCTTATTGCGTTTAACGTGATAAATAATTAAAACTAATTCGTTTTCATTTAGTCGAAACGTATTATTAGTAAGTGAATAACATATATTTAATGTTTGTTTAAATAAATACGTGGAAGTAAATGATAAAGATAACGTTTAAAGCAAAGTCTTATCTAAGTCTGGTATATTGTAGGCACATTTGCGTTTTTATAGATTCATTGATAAAATCATTCTTTCAAAATAAAACACTTTAACGGTGTAAAACGCGATTTATATGGTCTCGTAACCACCACTGCTGCAAAGCATCCGAACGTCGGGCCGTAGTTTAACTAATATATATCGTGTTTTAACCCGTTAAAGTATAAAATCATTATTATTTTTGAAAATGCTACTGTTTTTTTATCTGAACTCTGCCACAGGTCAACACTTCATACGGAAGTGTTAAAACCTTTACAGTTGAATATTTACTTACCTATTTGAACAAAAGCAATTAGTAATTCATACTTATTAGCATTTTAGTGTTGCATAAAAGATAAATGATCTGACCATTGAGATTTGGGTCAACTTTTAAAACTTAATGTTTTTTTATCGGTCTTTATAAAAAAAGATATTTTTATTTTGTATCAGTTTCCTTAGATTTCGCAAACTAATAACAATATAGATACAATACTAATTTTAAATCTATCTATACCAATTTATAAGGCTAAAGAGTTTTTTGATTGAAAGATTTAAAGAGATTTTTGTTGTTTGTATGAACGCGCTAATCTCAGGAACTACGGGTTCGAATTGAATTTTTTTTTTGTGTTCGTTAGAACATTAATCAAGGAAGGCTATAAAACTATTGCCCTGTGACTCAACGGTTCAAGGTACCCAAAAAATATGTATGACAGAATGACTCCTTTTTAAGTGATCTAAAAAGAAGTCCCAGATGCTATATCTCTATTTTTTATGAATAACTTGCGAAAATGACGGGAAGGGACGCGACCGACGTCGTAGGTGACAGCTTAAGTTTACAAAGATGACGGGGTTTCAAAAATGAATTTGGATGGCCAAAATAACGATTCTCGCGGACTAAGTCGCTGGCTCAGGTAATATTAAAAAATTTAAATTAGTCAAGTATGTTTTTGATAAATTCTTATTGCAATTTTTAAATAACTATATATCATGAATAAGTAACGTAAGCGTAACAAGCGACACATATAATCAACATTATTAAAAAAATATTTATCGTTGTTCAATTTTCAAACATTAATAAAGAAAATGCCACGAAGAATTGGCTAAAGTCTGTTACCGCAATAGCTCCGGAAAGGTCAAAAAATGATGACTAATGACACTATAACACTTACAAAGATACATTGCATAAATACTCATCTCTCGCGACACACATTTACGCGGGTAACTTATGTAATGGCGGAGTAAACGGGCAGTAAAATGAAGCGTACGATGCGCGTACGCTGGTATTTCTATATCCACTAGAATGTCTTAGCATATTCGCTAAACTCAAGATACGATAATCTTATAATTAAAATACTTGACGCGAAATATATTGGTTAAACTTGTTTACTAATTATTTTTAATTACGGCTCGACCTTTTGGATGCTTTGCACCAGCCGAGGTCATAGTGGGGGCAAACATCGGGCCGTACTTAAAATAAATTGTAAATAACTTTAACTAATATATTTCGTGATTAAAACTGTTAAAAGTGTTTTATTTAAATGTGTACTCGCGTAATATCGCGTGTATACAAAAGACAGTATTTACGATATGTCTGTTTAAGGTTCATTGGTTGTTATTGTTTGAGTTGGTTAGTTAAATGTAAGAGTTAAAAATGACGTCATCTCTTTTAATCCACATGGTGTAAGTTCACAGAACTTCGACTGATGGCACGACCACAGATAACCTAAATAACGTACCCACGTAACATACGATTACAAATAGATTAAAATAACCCTTAACAAAGATAATCGTATTTGTATATATATGTTATGTGAAGACTCTCAGATGGGAGGAATAATATAATATTAAAATATAAATCCAAATAGATGTTTTTTTTTTAATTTTTTATTTGAATTGTGTTTTTTCATGTAAGTAAAAAATGAAAGGGCTTTATATTAAACCATTTTTACTGCATAATAAGATAACTTTCTTTTAAATAAAGGCGTGAAATGTTAAAAAATTCGACTCTTCAAAATAGTTTCCCAAACTTGTTAATTCTCAAGTTGAGTATAATTAATTGATTTTTAACAATTATGCAAATTCTTATAGCCAAGCATTGTTTATCGTGGGTTCGATTCTCAGCGTTTGATGCGTCGCTTTAGAACAATGGCTTATCTTTAAAGCAATATGTTAAGTGACGTCACATTGTAGTTTTTTTCCTTCAATTTTGTAATCGAAGAGATTTTATTTATACAATACAGAATTATTTAACGAATATAGTGTATACTAATGACACATTTGAGAATTAACCTACAGAGTTGCTTAATATTGTTAAAAGGATAATAAAGACTTATATTGTCTGTCTCGTTTTAGGATCAGGAACAAAGCTGGTCACTTTTCAATATTGGCTACTTATCGCGACCGATTCATATTCTTTTAAAATTTAAATGGATTTCCAATTTGGAAATATCTTTAAAAAAAATTATCAATTTCAGAACATGAGGAGCTGCATACTCTTCGCGCTTTTTGCGCTTTTCGCGCTCGTCTGCGTCGGGGCATCGGAAACACACTCTCGCTTCCGTAAGTAAATTTAGACTATTATTAAAAGTGTATTTACTAAAAGATGACAGAGCGTTTTGTATCAAAATGTGGTTTTAATTGGAAAATAAGGGGACAGTAACCTACTAATATTTTGATAACATGTAACTACTTAGATATCCAAGTAAAAATACATAGATTAAACCCACTTGAAATGTAACTGACTAATGTTTGACTAAGTTGAAGTGTACATAAATAACCTTTATATATTATATTCAACTATATAATTGTATTTATTCATTTATATTCATGTAAATAATGCCTCAAACAATTTTTACAGAACCGAAAAAGCAAAGAGCTAGGAATGGTATGTACACAATACATTGCAGAGTACTAATCTAAGAAGCGAACATGTAACAAACTTAAACATTGAAAATTCATTGTACTTTGTATATAATTTAATTATGGATAATATAACTATCAAAATAATTAGTAATTATAAAAAAATATAAATAATTACAAAAGAAAATCCCGTAAATCTTTATATTGAAGATATTAAAAGCATTTAAATCTTAATTTTACCACAGTAAAACTTATATAACATTACCTAAAACAAATAAAATGTTACAAGCTCGTCTTCTTAGTAAGGACACAACAAGCTTTAGTTCACCAAATATGCCTTTCGCCGTTCACATAAGAGCTTTGGCAAAATATCACGATGATCTCGAGATCTTGATGGAAAACAACATAACATACAACATATATCTTTGCTTTCTTCACATATAACAATAGATGATACATATACAGACAATTGATTTTATATATTTCGTCTTCGTTTCGATAGTATAATCTGTTTCTTGTTCTTTTTCTTCTTTTTAAAAAATTAGAGTGGTTTTTCTTGACTGTTTGGATCTTTCCTTTTATAATTCTAAAAAATATTTGGTTACCACACAGTTTCTAAATAACATTGGTGGTTGATGTGATATCACATAGTGGCTTGTGGTTCACCTTCTCTTGTTAAAGGCTTTTATCCTCTGTTAATTGATTCGTCTATTCTTCGTCTCTCCTGGTATTGTCTCAATCTTCTTCTTTTATTTAACTAGTCTAACGTTCATATTTATTTCAAATCAGTCTTCTCTCAGCCGAAATCTTTCTTAGGTGATGGAAACAGTTCTTAAATCGTCGTTGACATTGAGATAACTTTCCAGCTGAAATTCAAGGAGATACCGACGAAATGATCAGCCAACTTTTACATTGGATACAGGGCTTAACTCAGCAGCGCAGCAGAAAAGGTCTGTTCTTAGAACATATCATATTGAACTCATTTATTTCCTTTATCGTATACAGGGCATTGATTATCGGGTAATGTATATATTACTAATAGTGCTAGGCCAGTTAATATCCTAAGTCCGACTTTTAGGTCTCACCAATTCGCACCAACTGCACAGCTAAGCATTACCACTGTGCACCTTACTCAGAAATGCTGATGCAGTATTATTAATAGAATTTTATTTATTTCAGCACGCCAATACTTTGGCGGCAAACCTGAGAGACCACGGCCTTTTGAACCTGCGTCATATTTGCCACCAGTTACTGGATATCCCGCTGCGGGATCACGACCAACACCCACGTACAGTGAAGGCCCTTCTCCTACGTACTCTCCGTTCCAACCAAGTACGCCATTTCAACCATCTCCGGATCAACCAGCGCAGCCTCCATATCCTACAAGCTTCCAACCTGATTCACCAACAATCCCAGCTTATCAACCGTCTCCAACTCCGGAAGAGCCCTCGGAACAGCCTTTCAAACCAAGCCCTACATACTTTCCGAATCAACCTAGTCAGCCAGCAAACACAAACCAGCCAGAAACAGACGAACCTAACTTTTTTACTCCTAGTCAAACATCTCCATCTCAGCCAAATCAACCTGAGAGACCAGATGAAACACCAATACCAAATGAACCGCAACAGACAGTTGAACCCGAAAATCCACAAGGAAATGGTCCACAAATAACACCAGTTACTCCCGACGATGACGATGACCGTCACCCTCCCCATATTCACGCCATCTCCGTTGACTGTGGCAAAGAAATGATGACCATTAACATTGAATTCAATAAGCCATATAACGGTATCATCTATTCTCAGGATCATTTCAAGGAAAATGATTGTGTTTACGTGAGAGCAAACTCCAATCGAGCAAAATATTCCTTCACGGTCAGCTTAAATACTTGCGGTACGAGATTCTTCAGCGACTTCGAGAACGAAGGTCAGGCGTACCTAGAGAATGTTTTGGTCTTACAAAATGAGCCTGGTATTCAAGAAGTTTGGGATCATATTCGAAGAGTTAGATGTTTATGGGAGGGTAACCTAACAAAACAATTGGTATCATCGTTGAGTGTAGGTATGTTGAACCAGATCACCAGTAATTTCAGCGGTGACACGGCTATGGCTCGTTTAGATATTCAAACTGGAAAGGGCCCATTCGCACCAGAAGCAAATGGATTAATCAAAATTGGAGAAATCATGACTCTAGTCGTATCTGTTACTGGTGACGCTGGATTTGATATCCTTGTACGAGAATGCATAGCACGCGACGCTGATAATAATAATGTTGTTCCATTAACTGACTCTAACGGATGTGTCCTAAAACCGAAACTGTTTGGAGCCTTCCAGAAAACTAGAGACACTGGAAATACAGGTGCATCTATCATTGCATACGCTTACTTCAATGCGTTCAAATTCCCTGATGAAATGGACCTTATAATCCAATGTGAAGTCGAGCTATGTAAGACCGACTGCGACGTGTGCCCGAATCCAGGAAGCACAGACCCAAGAAGGAAACGACGAGACGTCATCCACGTGGGTAACAGAACGATGGAACCAGTAACAACCATCGGTAAAGGCTTGAGGGTAGTCTTCGCTGAAGATCTGCCTATTGAACCCGACTTTTGTATGTCCCCCTCTACGGCGATGTGGGGTTCAGTTTTAGTATTATCTGCTTCTTTGCTAAGCAGTGTTATTGTATCGTATTGTTGGCAGAAGTCCAGGGGCATAGTTAAATTCTCATAAATATTTCCTCGTGAAAATGCCTACCTTTGAATACTCAATAAAAACATGTTCTAATTAGCTTTTGGTTAGTAAATTTAATTTCTTTACGACCTAATGTTGCAAATCTTCAGTAAATATTAGTTATATTTTTAAGGAACAACTATTTTGCTTATAGGTCATAGTCTTAGTTGTAGGAACTAAACACTGCCAATAATATTAATTGTTAAACTTATTTACAGTATTGTATTTTGTAAGTCTCAAGTAAGACTTTGTTGAAGGTTGCCTATTTATAATACCTAATCACGCAAAAACGTTCTAATTTTTACGATTGATGATTCTTTAATTTATATTTAATGTTTGTACATATTTTTATTTTAGTTAAAATAAAACATTAAATAATTTAACCCTGTTTTATTTTATAAGAGTTTATTTAACGTGAGCCATTGGACCCCTAAAAGGTCCGTGTCTTTTTGGGGTGCTGAACACAAAATCAGAAACGGAGCCCTATTTTCATCCGTAATAATAGTTCGCTGGCTGTCTGCCTGACACCATTTTGTATCAATATAATATACATAATAATAAGTATATTACATATCCGTTATAATAAGAAATAATAACAATAAACGCGATTAATATTTAATACTGTGTTAGTGAATAAGTTTGTTTGTAACATTGTAACTAGATGTCGCTATTTGACATCTAAAACACGCAATCAATATTGTCTATAGAAACTATTAGGCAGTTTGTATTTAATGTATAAAAAACCCGGCGGAAGAAGACCCACTGACGTATAAAAAACCTAATTACCACTTGTCGTTTAATTATACCACGATTGAGTTCAGAGAAGTGCATTCATTTTGCGAATTCCTTGCGATTGGGAATCCCTGTCTACTCAGTTAAACGGTGATGGGGTAGAGCCGAGTCGAATTCTCCCCCCATACTGTCTATAGTTTACGCGAGTAGTACACATTTAAATAAAACACTTAACGGTTTAAAACGTCGGGCCGAAGTTAAAAATCATTTTCAAATAAGTTTAACTAATATATCGCGTTTTAAACCGTTAAAGTGTTTTACTTAAATGCGATTAATATTTTCAATAACTACAACAGATTACAATGAAATGTATATACCTTCTTTCGATATCGTTGAATTCCCAATATTCATGGATAAATTCACAATAAATTCAAATACAATAAATACATATAGAGTGACTGTTAGTCAGTAAAGTACGAATTAGACTATTAATCTGAGGAAGCAAAATTCATGAACACATGGTATACATAAAAAAAGTCGCTGTGTCCATTGATTTTGAAGAGGTTTTTAAATATATTTCTTTATTTTAGAGAATGGTACATATATAAATACTGACAATTTAGAAGTATACAAAATTCCTTTGCACTTACATTGTAAAAGCCGGCTGAACCTCACCAGGTTCCAGAGATTAGGGCATTGAAACAAAGAAACACACAAACTCTTCAGCTTTATAATATTAGAATAGATTAGCAATGCAAAGCCAGGGCGGGGAACTAGTTTCTCATATAATGAGCGTATGACATAGAAAAACCAGGAATTGTTACCGGTGTAATTATAAACTGTGATTAATTTTAGGCTTATAGCAGTATAAAACTATTTTTATAGATGACATAAGAATATTTCTTCGTATATTTTGTATATTTAGGCTTAATATTACTATCTTTGCCACGTCCTTACTCCATACGTGGCGTTTTGTACGGTTGACAAAAAAAATCGACATAAATACTACTCGACGTAAAATGTATTTAGGAAGTATTCTAAAAATAATTTTGTTTAAATACCAACCACTATATGTATTGTACTACATACAACTATATACATGAAATAAAATAAAATATCGGTTATGACACTCGTGACGGGAAATACTTGAATATTAGTTTCATAAAGACATTTTAATAACATTATTTAATTCGTAAATTTGAGGGTAGTTTGTATGTTAACCGTACAAAAATACTATTATCAACTAACTGTTTGTACGGAGATAACTTATTATAAATGTCATGCTTACACCGCTGTTCTGCTTCGACTGAAAATTAATGAAAAAGATTAGCCTATCACTACAACAAATAATTTTCCAGCTCCAAAATGGTAATGTATGCAGTCATATAATCCTTCTTAACCTAGTCAAAATAAAATAATAATTAACCATTGCAAACGATAAGCGTAGATCGTAAAAGAATTGTTGTAGTTTCAACTAATCTAAGTTGTAAATGAGGTATTTTAAAAGGCAATGTAACATGCCGCTAGAAGATTTGTAGTATTCTATACTGTGTACTGGCAACGATGGGCGAAAAGACGAAACGCTCTGCGGTCTTGGTGCAGACGCTGGCAACAATGAGCAGTTAGTACAGCGTATAAATGTTAAAGACATCTTACGTTTAAGCGAATATTATTCTATTAATGTGCTACTAAAGGACTCAAGTTTCACATTTTTTAAGGCTTTAAAACCTACCTAAAAAAAGCTTTCTTGTGCTTAAAAGGTTTAAGCACGATAGTTATCGCGTTTTTTAGTCCCGACTGCGTGAGATTTCATAAATATAAATATTCTAGTGACGACCCTTGATTTGGTTTGACTTCAAATACTTGAGAAGCTTGATCTAATTTAAAAAAAAAACATTATCTAACGAAGGTAACGGTTTTTTTTGTATTCATAGAATAAGTCATATGGTGTTTATAAGTAATAAAGTTAAATAAATAAATAACGCATATTAATCTCAATAATACAGGAAAGAGTTACACGCATTGTAGATCTTCAGAATTAATCTCGGTTCTTGAATTGGGCACCAAGAAACGTTCAAAGTAAATTAATTGTACAATATCTTAAATGTTCCATTTGGGCAGAAGATCTGCGTTAATCCAGTAAAACAGACTCAGCCTCTACTATATTTAACTTGAATGCGACGCACCACTCCCTCCTTCTAGTAACTGCCTTGTTGTTTGGTGGTAGTGAACTCAACAGCAGATCAAAGGAAATATTATTATAATTCTAATATTAGCCTGAAGTTTAAAGATACAAACATCCCACGCATCGAAAAGTACGTTAAACCAGTAATAAGGACGTTAGTGCCTGTTGTCATCCGAAACTTTCCGATGGTGAGGAGTTGTTAAAGCTCGACCGGCCTCAGTGGAGAAGCACTGTCAACTGGTCTCAGTTTTTAAACCCTCACTTTAATAAAAGAGAAGATCTGTACCCTAGATGTGATATTAATAGATTGAAAAAAAAATGACCAAGGCCCACTCCAGCGCTTTTCACCACTAGGGTACTGTGGGTTTTAATCAGAATATATTGTCTTTACAGTTGCCTCCCTGGCCAGCCTCAATGGCTTCGTCTACGCCTGGCCTTCGTACACTTACGAAATCTTCACCACGAACAAGACGGTTTTAGAAGCGCAGATGTCGTCTACAGACATCTCGCTCTTGGGAAGTCTGACGAACATTGGGGGTCTCATGGGGACACCGATCTGCGCTCTGTTGATAGATAGAATCGGGAGGAAATACTCGGCGATGCTGTTTGGATTGCCTTATGTGGTAAATTTAAATGTGTTTGTTGTAAACATAACTTTTGCAGCAAGTAAAGTTAGCAATCTGCTGTTTATAATTGTCATTAATAGTAATCACTCGCTGTCCAGCCGTATATCGGTTTATACGGACCTAGATTATTAAATTTAATATTTCAGGTTTTTTGACTTTTTAACTTTATCAAAATTTCGAAAAAACTTTACAATATCTCTAAATGTACTCTCCATCAAGTACTTGCTGTGAAATAAAATTGATTAGTGAAAGACACGAAAATATATTCAGTCTGTGACTAAGTATCGCCAAAGGGGAACACGGACTTTCAATTTAGTTAATTCTATCATTTTTATTATAAAGGCGGGCTTCTCCATGCTTTTGTTTCCAGATGAGCACCACAAAATTTTAGAAATTTTGGGCCCGGTGGGGATAATGACCAAGACCCGTTGTTTATAAGCCAAACGTTAAATACTGTCTGTAGTTTACTCGAGCAGTACACAATTAAATAAGCTTTGCAGCAGCCGTTGTCACGGGGATATGTCGGGCTGTAGTTAAAATAATTTTCAAACAAGTTTAACATAATTAATATACTATATATCGCGTTTTAAACCGTTAAAGTTCTTTATTTAAAAGTCACACGTTGTTGCCATTAGACTAACGAACCCACATTTTATTATATTTATGAATTCTTTAATTCAGTAATTATTACAAGACCTCGCGAATTATATTTACTCCAATTACATTAAGGAATAAATTTTGTGTTTCAGATATCCTGGACGATAATATCATTTACAAAATCAATAAACCTAGTGCTATTTAGTATTTGGTTCGCGGGCTTTGGCGCCGGTGGCCAAGCCATAACCTCCGTCTACATATCCGAGATTTCGCAAGATTCAATAAGGGGTGCTCTCACATCTTCGACGGTATCAGGGTTCTTCATCGGTCTACTGTTCTCATACTTCTTAGGAGGACAGCTAACGTATTACCGAGTGGTGTACGTTCACTTGGCGATGTCTGTACTCTATATTCTGCTGTTGATGCTGATAAAAGAATCACCAGTATTTTTAGCGTTAAAAAGACGGGAGCAGGTAGGCTAAAGCTAAAGCTTATTACTATTTTTAGCATGTTATTGCCCATGACAGAATTTGTAGGCCAATAGTCAATGGCTCATAAGCATATGCTCGCAAATTCCAGGCTTCGAATCCCGGAAAAACAATAACGTCAGGCAGGGCAGAAATGAAATCGATCACTGAAATCGATCAGTCTTGTTGTCAGTTATGGTCCGTCGTTATTAAAAAAAATAGTATAAAGCATATGTTCAATTCAAATATTATGATCAAGGAAAGTAGTATAGTATGGAATAGAGAGAAAACACAGGCGATTAGATGAAAAAGAGAACATTTAAGCATAATTTAATTTGTAACAAATTAAAGAAAGCAAAGAAACGCCTACAGAAATAAAAGGCAAATTTCATTTCAAGTAGCACTAAACTATAGGTTAATATTTTGTGCGAATAGCTTATAAATTTCAACAAGTATTTAATTTTCATACGTTGTAGATATTATTTAGAAGCATTTAAAATATTTGGAACAAAGGTTGTCTTTATCGATCTTCCTGTTTTTTACAAAGTTTGTTTACTTTCAGGAAGCAGCTGAATCATTAGCGTTCTACAGACGAGTAAAAGTAAACTCTAAACTGGTGGGAGAAGAATTGAGGAAGATCAAAATGCAACTCGATCCAAGACTTGACAAAATCCTTCAAGCCGAGGAAGGTAAATAATGTCTACGTTTCGAAATTTAGTTGCTTGGTTCGAAGCCCGGGAGTGAATGTAGGCTCATGTAGTATTAAATATATACTGCAATATTAAAGGTGTCGTTTCAATGTATTGTTTTCAGATCCTGCCTCTGCCAAGGAATTATTAGAGGAACCAGCTACAGAACCACGAAAAGAACCGTCATGGAAATTCTTATGTATGTGCCTTATTACTTACAGTATCGGTGCAAAGTCCGTCGCGAGTTCAAATCCCGCCTGTAGTGTTTTCATAGTAAATAACATTCTACCATAAAGACGCAGTAGCTAATTACCACTATTGTGTTATTGCTACCGACATCTTAGTCTGCGGCGGTCAAAGCCGAGGGCGATGTCGTCTTTGGGGCACTTGGTATAGTCGCCAACAAGGCGAACCAAACGTCCAGTAAATATGAATTGCCCTGGATCAAAAAAGATATTTTAGTGTATATAATTAGATTTTAATTCATTAAAACATGTGATGGCACCATATAAGTTAAATATATATATATATTGAAAAAAAAATACGACACCAGCAATTAATTGGTTAGAGCAATAGCCAATAGATGCCAAGACCTGCTGGTGTCGAATTTTTTTTATTTATAATCGATTTTTAATTACTATTATTAACTATTATTTTTACTTCCAGTAAGATCTGAGTCCTCGAAAGGCGCGTTATTCGCTGTAATCTTCTGCTTGGCTGTAACTATATTTATGGGTGCCTTAGCGTTACAAGTGTATGCGGAACCCTTGTTTAAAGAAGCTGTGCCTACGATGCATCCCAATCTCTGCTCTATATTGCTAGCAGTAGATTATCTAGCTGCCGCGTTAGTCTGTGCCTCTGTCATAGATAGATTTGGACGGAAGGTTAGTATGTTATATGGCGTATGTATGTGCACGCCGATGCCATTTGGAGACATCTGTTAATTTGCAGAGATCTGTCGTCGGTACTTGACATCGGCCGATGCGTTTGACACTTATACCCAAGTTGTAGGTTTTTATTGTTTCGAGCGTAATTTCTATATTCCTACACTCATTTAATATCCAGATTTCAGACAAAAAAACAAAAAATGCATATAAATGAATGTATATATATTATTTTGTTTTTGGAGTAAAAATTTACTTCAAAAACACAATCGTATTACTAAACCTTTCAATATAAATTTTATTTTTATTGTTCAAAAATATTTTTAGGATCCAAGATTTTTGTTTCGTTGACTCAGGTATAAATTTATATAATTTTATTCACAGCGTTTAATGACCGTTACTGCTATTGCATGTGGCATGTTCAACATTCTTTTGGGATCACAACTTCAGTACCACTGGGCCCCACATTGGTTCACAGCCTTCATCATTTACGCTTACAGCTTCGTCTACAATTTGGGAGTTGCTGTCGTGCCTTTCGTTTTAACAGCTGAGGTGTTTTTACCAGAGGTAAGACATGAAAGAGACAACAATAGTATTATTTTAAGCGGTATTAGACCTTATCAAGTTCAAACTTACTTGAAAACCAAAAAAACAAATGCCAAACACATCCAGTCCTGGCCATGTTGTTTTTTTTTCAATATAAATTGATATTTATTAAGGATGTAATTACCTATAGCTCATTTTAGCTGTCTTCCGAGTATAAGATCTACTTGGAATACTCAATTTTGGTACACTATTGTTCATATGAATATGATGATTTTTATTCACACCAAATACCTGGTTAACATTCGCAAATTTACAGAGCAACCCCACACAAATGTGCTAACGATTATTACTGTAGAACTAGGATTTTTGTGTTTTCTGTTACCAATATATTTTTATATTTTACATCTACATTAAATAATGTAAATGTGTTTTGTTTGCAAAAATACATCGTTACTTGGTTTAAATTGTTAGTATTATATATAGAATAATTATAAACTGTGACTAATTTTATTTGAAAACGGAATCATTATTTAAAAAATGGAACACTTTTTAATTTCTATATATGTGTTTATTTTGGAAGTAGATATATACTACTTCCAAAATAAATTATATTGGAAACTCAAAGCAACCAGTGTAATTTACCTGAAGATATATTTATTTAGGGAATTTTGTAAATATGTTTTTGTATTTTCTAGGTCCGCGGCCTCTGTAGCAGTATATCTATGGTGTGTATGTGGATTCTGAACTTTGTTTTGTTAGTAACTTTCAATCCAATAGTGGAATATGTTGGGCTGGGCTCAACTTTTTACTTCTTCGCGATTATAAGCTTCGTTGGAGGAATCTACAGCCAGTTCTGGCTTCCGGAGACAAAGGGACTATCTGTGGATGCGATACAACCCCTGTTTATGAAGAAGAAGAAATAAGACTCGTAATTGTTTAAGTAGGATAGGCTTGTTATTGTTATTTTTCATGGTTGAATGTGATTGCGGATTGATATTAAAACAATAAAGAAGGATAAATATCCGTAATCTAGCCAAATTTCTGATTGTGGCTTGGTGGAGCAAAACAACGGATCGCTGTGATAGTAGGTTCAAGTACAGGTACTTGAATCGTTATTTCGTTTAATGTAAAGTAGACTATTGATTTATATAAAGCTATCTTGTATTAGCAACAATCTGCCATAGATTAATGTAATTAGATGACACTTATATTAGGAGTACAAATAGGTTTCCACGGTTTTATAACACAAATTAAATAATTATTATAAAAGAACGGTAATCTAAATTTATTTAAAATATTGCCCATCACTTGCAAAGACTTTTCCCATTTCTCAGGCAGCATTCAGGTCCCACGTCTGAAGAACTCCTTGTCTTTTGAGGCTATCCACGAATCAACCCAAATTTGGTGTCCTCATAAGAAGTGAAAAACCTTCTTTATTTAATAATCATTTAATACCTACAATCTTAAATTTCTTTAATGAACATAAGTATTTCCAACGTTTTCCAAAAAAAATACCTTCGTTACGGTAAAGCCATCTAGTCGCCTTAGCCGTACCACAAGTCTAGCAAGCCTAAGTCTTACTTAAAAAAACATATTAAAAAAGTATAAAGAAAGACATGTAATAATAAGATATTTGATAAACAACAAAAAACTATATTCGTTACTAAGCTAAAAACACAAATCTGCACTTAACAGGAAAATAGAAAAGTCTCTTGTAGAATCTTTTTATAACAAAGTAATGCTTACGTCTAAAAAATGAGAAATTAGGTTAAATTTGTTATTTTTAAATAAAAAAAATACATCAATATTATCATTGTGACAACTATTTAAAAAACTTCCTTTTTTAAATATTTTTTTACGAAGATAGTCGGCGGGATCTTTCTTTAAGCTAGTTAAGTATGCCTCAGATCTTGCAGGCCAACTGCCCGCCATTATATGATGCATTAGACACACAGACTCATACCTTAATTTTTTTTTATTACAGTAATTTTCTATACCTATACACAAACGCAGCTCCTAAACCAGGCATACGTTTTTATAAAATGTTGATTTGTCTAATAGTTCTTTTAGCGTGTCGTTTTAAACATAGTTACTTGATACTTATTAATTTAAATGCTTCTACTTACATTTCTGTAATTGAGGACTTGGTCCAACGACTTCCCTTCTAGATCCTAGACTCATAGTTTCGAATTATTCTATTTCTTTTATTAATTTGCCAAGTTGTTATAAGCTTCTGGATATGTTGTATCGTCACAAAATGCTGTTTTATTATCCATATCTTATACTTCGAACAATCGAGGAGCTAACAGCATCGTTTAATGATGCTGTCCGCTTGTGATGGCGAAACGTCGAGAACCTCTTCTCCTTTACGTCGGCTGAAAAGCCCAAAAAGCAATGATATGCTAAATTATGGCCGAGGAAGCCTTACACAATTTATCCATGGCTTTATTTGAACTTACGAGAAAACACGATATAAAATGGAAAGTGTGTGGAATGTTGGCTTTAAGATTGCTTTTTTAAGAGCATACTTATAGTATGTCCATAAACTGCTTCTAGGTTTGCTCGCAATATTCGAAGCAATCTTGTATATATGATAAATATAGCTGTACAAGATTATTGACCAGGGGTACGACTTTGGTTGTGGTACCACTTAAGCAATTTTATCCCAATGACACTTTGTTTAAGACGAGAAATGCTCGTAAATTAGTTGCATTATAAAACGTAAAAACCTTCTCTAATGCGTTAATTTGACAGCAACTGATGTGCTAACCGTATATAATTAGAATAAATACCATTATCAACTAACTGTTTGTTTGGCGATAACTAGTATTATAAATGTTATGCTTATACCGCTGGTATGACTGCAAATGAAATTAATGAAAAGGATTAAACCCTATCTTTACTGGCGAATGTTTTCGAGCCAGAAATTGAGACCCATAGTGGTAATGTATACAGTCATATAATTCTTACTCTAGTCAAAATATCATAATATTATAACATTTCAAAAGATAAGGGTAGATCGTAAAGAGTTCTTGTAGTTTCAACTAATCTGAGTTGTAAATGAGATAATTTATAAAGCGATGTAATATGATGCTAGGAGATCTGTAGTAATTGATGTAGTGCAAGGATGGGCGAAAAGACGAAACGCTCTGCGATCTTGGTGCAGACGCTGGCAACCATGAGCAGTTAGTACAGTGCAAATATAAAAGACATCTTACATTTAAGTGAATAATTCTTTCAATATCCTACTATTAGCCACAGGTCTCCTAACCTGTAGGAGTTTAAGACCTTTGGACTCTCCCTGCTCCAATGGAGATGGGTTGAGTTTAACTTCTCTTGCTACTCCATGTGTGATGATAACCAGGATCGATGGCTTAATGTGTTTTCCAAGGCACGGGTGTGATTACTTCTTCTTCTGAATTTCGCGCTAGTGATATTTTTTTAGATTAACAAATACTTTAGTATATACCTTCTGGACTTCGTGACCTGACCATTAGACCAAGGAGGCAATGGAATGAATTTAATGAAGTGTTATCATTTATTAGGTGTAAAATATGTAAAGGATAGTTATAGTGGTAAAAATAATTAAGCGAAGCTTCGTCGTACAACATTTTTAAAAAATATGTCCTAAAATCCTAGTGACCATCAATGTCCTGTGCTTTAAGAGCGTGAGGTATTGGCCTCGAATACTGAGAAAGCATCATTGAATCTAATAAAATATTATTCCACATAGGTAACACATTAATGTGAATAACACAAACAATAGTTACACACATAGAAATTTGGAACCAGTTCTTGAATCAGAGGCGACAAAAGTCGAAGCCACTCTTTTTAACGCTAAGTTTCATTTTTCAATCTGTGCTAATTTCGTGAAATAGACATACAATTGTGTCTCTCCTTTTACCTAAGTGAAACGGGATTTTACTATTAATGAAATGTACTTATTAATACTAAAAACGTATCTAATAATAGAGAAATTATGCAATAAATTAAGGATAACTAACATTTGCCAATAAAATCTCGACTCTGTCAGTAAATCATTGTTTGCCACCATTTATGACAACTAAGTAGATAATAGTATTAGCATTTGGTAAATATTATGCGTGAAATTGGATAGTAGTGCTTGGTTTTGTATATACAAAAATGCTTAATGATGTACATTTTACCTCTTTTGATGAAATTTTATATTTATAAGACGTCCATTTGTAGTGTTTTGTTACCAACATTTTTAAGAATGTTGATTTATTAAAATTCCTATTTAAAGCAATATATAGCATAAGCCTGAAAAAAAATTCTTAGATTAGAGTTAATATTTTAAACATTGCCAAAAGGAATTCCAGAAACTGTCTTGTTGGTCTAGTAACTGCCTTTGGAATTGAATAGTCACATTAGATCTAGGAAATTGTTAGGGCATAAATTAACCTAATTCTAATATCAGTCTTGCTGGAAGCAAATGTAGAGGATGAAAGTGCAAGCCCTCGTGCTTCAAAGAACACGTTAAGTTATTGGTCTCGGTAATGATCTGTAACTTAACGACGTTAGTAGTTAGCAGAGGAGAGGAGTAATAGACACTTATAAGTGCTAAAGCTCATGCTAGTGCTGTTCATGACTAAGATATTGCTAATTTAAGTCACTATTATATTTATAGTTGCCTATCTGACCGGGCTTACTGGCTTCATCTACGCCTGGCCTTCGTACACCATCGAAATCTTCACCACAAACAAGACGGTTCTAGAAGCAGAGATGTCGTCTACTGAAATCTCGCTTTTGGGAAGTCTGACGAACATTGGGGGTCTCATGGGGACACCGCTCTGCGCTCTGTTGATAGACAGAATCGGGAGGAAATACTCGGCGATGCTGTTTGGATTGCCTTACGTGGTAAGTTCCACATTTTTGTTGCAGACGATCGCGTTACAGGCATAGCGAATTATCAGTATATACAGATACCAATAACGAATAAACATAATAATTTCAATTTTAACTACCGCTTGTATTTTATGTTTATTCAAGTACTAAATTACTTTTAACTATATTACGAATGGTTTTTACGGGAGTATAGAAAAGTGATGACTTTGGTTTAGACTTTTTCAGTCATTTTTTTCAAAAACTATACATAGCGGAAATAATATATTTATAAATTAGAGAAGTCGTTTTTGCAGTACTCGAGTTTGTAACTTAGAGATTTAGTGTTTCATTTTTGTAATATCCATAATAAATCTAGTTCTAGTAGTGCTGTTTGTCTGTCGTACATATTTTTTATAATTTTGTATTTTACGTTTTTTCACTTTTAATATTATTTTCAATATGAATTCATTCTGTGTATAGTTTACGCGAGTAGTATACATTTAAATAAAACACTTTAACGGTTTAAAAAGCGATATATTAGTTAAACTCATTTGATTCGTCTCTCCGAGACCACGGTTGCTGTAAGCATCCGAATCGTCGGGCCGAAGTTATAAATCATTTTCAATTAAGTTTACCTAATATATCCCAATTTAAACCGTTAAAGTATTTTATTTAAATTAATTCGTAATTATAAGAAAGATTAAATGACGTCCCGTAGACATAGGCGAATCATTTACTATAATTACATTACAGAATACATTTTTATGTTTCAGATATCCTGGTTAATAATATTACTTACCAAATCAATAAATCTAGTGCTATTTAGTATTTGGTTCGCGGGCTTTGGCGCTGGTGGTCAAGCCATTACGTCCGTCTACATATCTGAGATTTCGCAAGATTCAATAAGGGGTGCTCTCACATCTTCGACGGTCTCGGGGTTCTTCATCGGTCTACTGTTCTCGTACTTCTTGGGAGGACAGCTAACTTATCATCAAGTAGTGTACGTTCACTTGGCGATGTCTGTACTCTATATTCTGCTGTTGATGCTGATAAAAGATTCACCTGTATTTTTAGTATTAAAAGGACGGGAGCAGGTAAGCTAAAAAATAAATCTAAGTATTACATCTACATGTTCATATACATTACTACCTAGTTTGATGGGTTGTGGAATACCTACCATTGTGTTAAGTTTGAGAATTACTGGCTTCTAATGGTGGGATAAATTGAAGTATTAAGTGCAAAGAAAGTTGTAAACAAAGGATTGGAATTTACCAAAGGATATTTTGCAAAACACGGAACTTAATTACTTTCAGCAACATATAATTATAATAAAATTGGTAACAATTGAAAAAAAATCAGAAAATAGCATGTGGAAATAATAAAGAAAAGAAACACGCCTACAAAAATTTAAAGGCAAATTTCATTTTATGAAGCTCCAAAGTATAAGTCCGAATGTCTTATAATAAAATAATTATTATGAAATAATAATAAAAATTAAATATTAAATTTGTCCAATTTCAACAACTATTTAATTTTTATACGTTACACTGATTTTTTTTTTGGGTATATAAATTTTGTGAAGAACTTTCAACTTAATATTATCTAAAAGCACTGACGTTTCTTTATGTGTCTATTTCGATCTTCTTTTGTTATTCATCATTTTTGTTTACTTTCAGGAAGCAGCTGAATCAATAGCGTTCTACAGACGAGTAAAAGTAAACTCTAAACTTGTGGAAGTAGAATTGAGGAAGATAAAAATGCAACTCGATCCACGACTTGACAAAATCCTTCAAGCCGACGAAGGTAATTACGCGACGATGTTTTAAAGTAAATACGAACGGTCCTGTGTTCAAAGCCAAATAAAACAGTGGAGAATGGTGAACAAGAAAACAGTATTTGGGTTGGATACTGTAGGCTTAGCTAATTGTGATCCAATTGACACTGTCTATAGTTTACGCGAGTAGTACACATTTAAATGAAACACTTTAATGGTTTAAAACGCGATATATTAGTTAAACTTATTTGAAAATGATTTTTAAATTATATAGTGCCTTCATGTGCAATAACATGAGAAAAATATTAATGTTTTCAAATGATTTTTAACTTCGGCCCCGTGGTCACGGGTAGACTGAGCATCCGAAACGGCGGCTGGGCATTCCCACGCCAAAAAAATATATTTTGAAATAAATTAATAAGAGATTTAATTGCGAAGAAGGTAGCTTTATTCTGTCTGATTCTTATAATAGTTCATTATTATCTTCCTAGTCGTATATTTTCGTAGAGACTAACTGCGTAATAAGATATATTGTACCATTGTTGAATTTAGGATTTATGTTACTGCGCACTGCGTTATTTAAATTAAGTCTATAAAATTTTTCAAGCGAATAAAAATAGACTTACGATTGCTCATTAACACTTTAATGTCAAGAATACCAAACGGATACGTATGATTTTTAAATATTAGTCGGTAATGAATAAAATCAATTCAGAAACTAATATCAGAGATGGGCTATTCCGGTTTGAACCGAAACCGAATTTCAGCTGAATATTCGGTTCAAATGACGACTAACGTTGTTTAACACCAGGGTTGGAGTTCATGTTTAGAGGCACGTCCTAAACGTGAACACCAAGCCATAAATTAACCACAATCTTAATGTTGTTTTCATATTTTAACTTTTAAATGTATTGTTTTCAGATCCTACCTCTGCTAAAGAGTTATTGGAGAAACCAGCTACGGAACCACGAAAAGAATCTTCATGGAAATTCTTAAGTAAATGCCGTATTACCGTGTCCGTACGAAGTCTGTCGCGGGTTTAAATCTCGCCTGTTGTAGACATTTAACTATAAATAATATCAACCCGACGATAAATTTGACGCGGTCGTTGGTCTAATGATAGCAATGTATGGCTAATAATCAACGGGTTCGATCCCCACCGGGTCCAACGTGATTCAAATTCTTCAGAATCATGTTGGACTTCGTCTGGAAATCTGTATATTAAGCGCGTGGTATATCGAAATTCCGTCTAGGTCACGAACCACCGTCGACTGATAAAAAAGCGAAGTTTAATCGCGTTTCGGTTTCAGCCTGTGGATATCCATTCGGATATATTCATACAAAACCAAAATAGGTCGACGGCGCAACTTGTGTAGATGGTCTATGGCTGGGGTATCAAGTGACTCTCATGCTTGTTTTCTATCGTTAAAAAATTCTGTGGTCAGTGGTTTGTGACGCGGACAGAATTTCGATATTCCTACAGACAGAGTTAGAGAAGTTTACAAATACATGATGTCCCGTCTTGTACCTTAAATATATTATGTAGTATGTAGTATAATTTTTACTTCCAGTAAGCTCCGAGTCTTCGAAAGGCGCGTTATTCGCAGTAATTTTCTGCATGGGAATTTCTATTCTCATGGGTGCTATAGTACTACAAGTGTATGCAGAGCCCTTGTTCAAAGAAGCTGTGCCTACGATGCATCCCAATCTCTGCTCTATATTGCTAGCAGTAGATTATTTAGCTGCCGCGCTAGTCTGTGCCTCCGTCATTGATCGATTTGGAAGGAAGGTTAGTAGGTTTTTACTTAATACAAATCCCATAGGGTAGACAAATTTCTGAGTCCGTTTCATGTTCCACTTAATTTTCAGGTAAGTATATAGTAATAGTGTTTGCCCTACGCGATCGAAACAATGAATCATCGTGTGATAAGGGTCGTGCCTAATGCAATGCTAGGCTACGCTTTTAAAGCACCGTAGTGGGCTGGTGGTGTGTTTAGTGGTTCTGATTGGCTGTTGTCTCCGAGTTACAAACTCGAAGACGAGTTACGATTACCCATACTTACCATGTTATTATTGCCCGACGTAGGTGTGCATTAGGCATTCATACCATCAGTAAAATTTGGCTACGCTTTTAAGAATTGAGAGCTACTGTTGTAGTGTTTTGATGTGTGTTGAGATACATCAAAAAACATCGTATATTGTGTTTAGTCAATAGTAAATTATGTAAAAAGCAGCTTATCTTAATAAGAACCAAAGTGTTTATTGTAATTATCAGAGCATTCACTCCAAAAACACAATCGTAAATCACTAAACCTTTCAATATAAATTTTACGTTTATTGACACAAATATCACAAATATTTTTAGGATCCAAGGTTTTATTTGTTTCGTTGTCTCAGGTATTTTGTTATAATTTTATTCACAGAGTTTAATGACCGTCACTGCCATTGCATCGGGCGTGTTCAACATTCTTCTGGGATCACAACTTCACTTCCACTGGGCCCCACATTGGTTCACAGCCTTCGTAATTTACGCTTATAGCTTCGTCTTCAATTTGGGAGTTGCTGTCGTGCCTTTCGTTTTAACAGCAGAGGTGTTCTTGCCAGAGGTAAGATCACGATAACATGAAAGAGACAACACTAGTATAATTCTGATCCATAGAAGACCTTATTAAAATTCTTCTGACAACGCTAATACGTCCAAATTAAAATAAGCAACATTACTTTTTTATAAAACAAAATACAACCAGAATCTAACCTAACCTACATGTCATTATAATTTGTAATCTTTTAAAAAGATAATTAGATAATATGTAGGTTCGTTTTCCGAGTAACAGTTTAATATCAAAATTACTTGGAATATTCAAATTTAGCACACTAGTTCTAATGTTTGTATGGTCGTAATCATACCATCATAATGTACACCCAAATATATATTTTTAGTTACAATATGCTAATTTACAGAGCAAACTCTCATGACACAAATATGCTAAGTTAACGATTATTATAGCAGGATTTGGGTGTGTTCTGTTATAAATGTGTCTTGATATTCCTTTAAATTTATAATTTCTTCTTACCTGATTCCTTAGGATCCGAGGAAGTTTCGTTTGTCCATGTGCATTAATTACAAACTTAAAAATACGTCGGTTTAATTTGTTCGATTTTTCAGTAGTATACAAACAGCGACTCACTTTGTACGAAAAATGCATCTATTAGGTTGAAACACTTCTTTATATACGTGTTTTTTTCGCGTTTTGTACTATTTGTGATACTTTTGGAACTTAAACCAGCAGTACTAATTGACCTATGGGTGTCATATTTGCAATCTACTTTACATATTTAATCATACAAAGATAATATTTAATAAAAAGAAATGTCACTTACATCAAACCACTGTATAGAAATAGTAAGATATATTTATTCAAGGAAGGATAAATTTGAGGTTTACAATTTTTTTTATGATATTATGCATAGGGTCCACTTGATGGTAAGTGAAATAACCCAGCCTAAGCAAGATGCGCTATCGACCTATTTTGACTTTGGATATTCGGAAAACCACTGAAGCCGAAACGTGCTTGGACTTCACGGCTTCTTCATCTGTGGACGGTCGTTAGTGACCCCGGACCAATTTAGCTATCCCTATCGCCCATTTAATATCCAGATTACAAGTCAAATTAGAAACACATTTTTTAAAAATCAAAAATAAATTAAAAAAAATTTTTCGACTCGGGCAGGACTTGAACCGGCATCGTCAGCTTTCCGTGCTGTTACCAATTGAGCTACCGAGTCCTACACCTCATCGTCGAATTTTTTCAACATATTGATACATGCACCTCTCGCGCAATAAAGCTGACGATGCCGGTTCAAATCCTGCCCGAGTCGATTTTTTTTTTTAAATTTATTTTCGACTTTTAAATTATATAGTGCCTTGATGTGCAACATGTGAAAAATATTAATTTCAAACGTAGAAACACATTCGTCCGTCATATCAAACCAATGACCCGTCGATTATAAGCCGCACATTCCTACCATAACACTAACAAGCCGGTCACTATGATGCTTTGTCTTTTCTAGGTCCGAGGTCTCTGCAGCAGCCTTTCAATGGTCTGTATGTGGGTTATGAACTTCGTCACGTTAATAATATTCAACCCACTAGTAGATTATGTTGGTCTGGGCCCAACTTTCTACTTCTTCGCGATTATTTGCTTCGTTGGAGGAATCTACAGCCAGCTCTGGCTTCCGGAGACCAAGGGATTATCGGTGGATGCGATACAACGTCTGTTTATAAAGAAGAAGAAGCAAGACTCTTAATTATTCAATAGGATAGGATTGTTGTAGACACGAACGTTTTTATTTGCGTTTACCAAATTTCTTATTACGATTAAAGTCAGTATGTTAGGTGCTTACATTCTTTATTACGTTTTCTTAGATGCCTTTGCACGTACGATTTTACTAAAAAATGTTTTGATATTTAAATAAAACACTTTAACGGTTTAAAACGCGATATATTAGTTAAACTTAATTGAAAATGATTTTTAACTTCGGCCCGACGTTTCCCCGTCTCCCCGTGACCACGGCTGCTGCAAAGCATCCGAAACGTCGGGTGTACTACTCGCGTAAACTATTGACAGTATCTAATGTTTTGATAGTTGAATTTGATCGCGGGTTTTGCATTGCGTGAATGAAGAATGTTGATTTAGTATTTTGGATCAATAAATGTGGACTTCAAATGAAATTACGAATCTGTATGAAGTACCGCGCCTGGACTTGGTGCAGTCAAAAGCTGGTCGTACATGGAAGATTGGTGGACCAAAGCAACAGATCACTGTAACAGTAGGTACTTGACCTGTGCCTTAATTTTTAAAACGTGTAATAGTTTTTATTTTTATAAATATAATAGCAAAAACTGGAAAATATAAGTGTCTTGCATTCTAATAGGTATAGTATAAAAGTATAGTGATATTAAGTTAAATATTATTAATACACAACTGGGAATCAAACTCCCGTCCTTCAGTATTCGGCTTCAAACACCTCATTCACGTTTCCTCCTACCATATACAAAATACAGTGTATAAAGTTGCTATGAACAACAATTGTGTTTGTCAGTTTTTTGTTTCGCAGTAATCGAATACAACGTCCATTGTCCACAATTGATTCGAAGACGAATTTATTGACTAAAATCATTTATAATTAGGCATGCGTCAATACGTTTGAATTCGTTTTGTCTATTTACATAAGTCAGGTATTTTTCCATGTTATTCAAATTTCCGAATTCCGAGACCGATGTGGATTGGTTACCTAACATTGTTATTGGCATGCATATAATAGTTTAAAATACGATAGTAATGTTGTGAGGAGAATGGAAGTGAAATTATTTGAATGACAGACGCTGTTTATCGTGTTATAGAGTTCACAGACAAGGTTATTTCAAATTTGTTCTGTTAAAAAAATCTTATTATATGAAATGATAGTTACGACGCGAGTTAACTAAATTCCAATTAATAGATAAGAACAACAGTTGTATTTGACAGTTTTTTGTTTCGCAGTGATCAAAACAATATACACAAACATACGAATAATAAAAAACCAAACTTTTTACGATAATTGTTTATAAAAATAGTAACTGTACGACCATTTTTACTAAATAAATAAAAAATACTATTTGTTTTGCTATATATCAGTTTTGTGTGAATAATAAAATGTGTGTGTGTTTTTTAACACACATAATAAATATAACGTCGCAGACACAAGAAGCAACAGTGTCTAGGATCAGCGTGTGTTTAAAAATACCACCTAACCTCACTACACATAAAACTTGTTTTTCAATTTATACAGTAGAACTCGTTTGCGAAAAAAAAAACTTATTTTCGTTTGCTTGAAAACGTCTAAAAATTCCATCAGTTTAATTTCATCTCGCGACTGTACTACTTGTGTCAATTAAGATTTGAAAATGTAGTGTTTTTTGTGTCGTTAACCTCGAATTCGCGTAGTGTAATCGTGTTGTGTATTTAAAGACTTTGTGTGACCTTGACTAATTAGTTTATGGTGGGTATCGCTTCGAAAAAAGACGTTGAGGCCTATGTAAAATCGGTATCTTCAATCTATCAAATAAGGAAAATATTCAGAAAAATTCCAAAAAACACGTTGCGTTTTTACGTATTTATTATTTAAAGAGAAATCTGAGACATGGAGCGGACACATTTCTGTGTCCGTTTCTTGTGTAACTAAATAAATAATATAATAAAATAAAAAAAAATAAGAATTATACTTTCACATTATAATGTAGATGCTGTTTGTAGATCACGCGAGTGGTAAGTTTTGAATTAAAACATTCGACGGTTTAAAACGCGAAATATATTAGTTAAACTTGTTACAAATTATTTTTAATTTGTTTCCTCGTAACCACGACTGTAAATCATCCGAAGCGTCGGGACGTATTTAAAAATATTTTGTAAACAAGATTTACTAATTTATTTCGCATTTTAAACCGTCAAATTATTTTGTTTTATTGAGTAAGCCATCTCTAATAGTTTAAACCGCGAACAATGCTCCTGCAAAGCATCGAAAACGTCTATGAAATGTAAAAATAAATAATATATAATTATTTCCTAATTAAAACCGTTAATTTTAGTTCTCTTATCGTGTAGGTACACGCATAACATATTTTAGTATCTACAGTAAAACTGGTATGGAACTATCAATTACTTTCAGGTATCGACTACACAACTTTCATTAATGTTCATGATCGTTATAAAAGTGTTTCAATAAATAAATTAACGCAAAAATAAACACGATAAGTGATCTAGTTTTATTTCCTTTTTTGCTATTAATACAAATGTAATCAGTCACAGATACAACAAAACTATATATTTATTATTAGTAGATAATTTATTGCTGGTAACATTATTCATACTTTCAAATTTAGTTATTTTTTTTTACAGTAGTGCTTGCACTTTTGCACTAGGGGTTCTGCTAAAGAAAAAAAATATTTTAATTTAATACATGATGTTTTTCTTTAAATTCTTCTTTTTTTAATCAAGTCCAAAGCCAGTCTATTTTTTGATTCAGAGTCTCTAAATATGTCGGAACCAAAACGGCGGTTAGAAGAAATAGTTTACGCGAGTAGAACACATTTAAATAAAACCCTTTTAACAGTTTATAACGCGAAATATTAACTTATTTACAATTTATTATAACTACTGACGTGTGGGATCGGATCGGTGTTCACAGAGAGCCCCCGTTAACTTTAAGTAGTATATTTCGCGTCTTAAACGGTTAAAAGTGTTTGCAAGATGGCGATACTCATATTACAAGGACTTATTTTCTCTTACAACGGTATTGATTGATGGAATTTTAAGAGACGTGGTTTAAAAAGGGCTTTTTCGAAACCTTTATGTTAGTCCGTACACGATCATTAAAATATCTTTGAAGACATTAATACTGGCTTCAAGCTGCACTTTCGCTACATACAAGTAAGCATAAGGAGGTTAAATGAGGAAAACACGGTGACCTTATTGAATAACACGGTGCAAAAACATCTGCCAAATGTTTGTACGGTGACTGTACGGCAATCTACTGATTCTTCAGTCTGGGAAAGTCTCGACTGTTCAACGCAAAAAAATTGAATTATGAAATTTCGAAAAGCAACAGTCATAGAAGATGAAATACTGTCTGTAGTTTACGCGCGTAGTACACATTTAAATAAAACACTTTAACGGTTTAAACGCGCGTATATTAGTTTAACTTATTTTAAAAATATTTTAAATGCGGCCCAATGTTTCGGTTGCTTTGCAGCAGCCATGGTCACGGGGAGACTAAAGATGCTTGGTCTTATGTGAAAGTAAAAGAAACTGCTACGCTAGCGCCATCTGTTCCGTCGTAGTTGGTATTTGGCAAACCTGGCCGGGTGCTTGCAGAATAGATTGCAAAGCATCTGAAACGTCGGGCCGTATTTAAAATCATTTTCAAATTAGTTTGACTAATCAATATCGCGTTTTAAACCGTTAAAGTGTTTTATTTAAACTTAGATATAACATTTTATTTCTTTTTCAACTGTGGTATTCAAAGATAAACTGCGTCAGGTGCTAAAAAATCTAAACCAATTTATGTACTAATGTTCCCAAGATAAGTAGTAAAATATCAAGATAATAAATTTTTACATGCATTAAAATGCAACGTTAAAAATAAATTTAAGTTTGTTCATATCTCCACAAAAACTGGTTATGGTAATATTGGTAATGTCAAATTTGACATTTAATTAACAATTATAACATGAAAGATCTTAGATATAAATATTTGGGTTTGTAAGATACATTTATGTATTATAAAACATTTATGTGTACACACGATATCATTTTCGTTAGACTGCCTCTGTAGCTAAATTGTTAAACGAGTTGTTTAGCATTGCTTTAAGCGTGAGAGGTCCTGGGTTCGAAGAATAGATTGTTTCCGTCGGGCAGGGTACAGAAGTCAGATCAATTACTGCAAGTCAAACTGCTGTGTAACGGGCACAGAAATTGTGTTCGCCCTATGCCCCAAAGGAGGAGCATAAGTATGGCTATGATAACTTTTTAAATATTTCCCATTCTAAAGTAGTAATTTTTACAAATTCGATGACAAAGGCGGGACTTGAACCCACGACCACGGAGGTTAAGGTTTTTATTTATGTAAAAATATATTTATATTTTATAAAAGTATAAAGTATATTTAAAATAGAAGTGAAGTTGTGTCCAAACGATATTAAGATATTGCGCATCGATATTTAGAATGCTGTCCTAGAATTTATCTTTTTTAACTTAACTTTTTGAGATTTAGATCAAAACATGATTGCTTATCGCGTCTGATTTGGGATAAGATTAAATCTTTAAGTCAAGAGGTAATAAAGGCTCTTGAAATAGTTAAGGGTTATACATATACATAATATCTCGTGATTATCATATTAACGTTATACATTTATGGAAAGTGCTTAATTGTCATTAAAAGGGCTATTTTCGTATGTATTATAGTACAGTATTCGGCCTATTTGTGTTTAAACAATTATGAAGAAACTAGATGTACGTTATAATAAAAGAATGGTCCTCCATCGCTCGATTGATACTTTTTAATTTTTTATGCATTTTTTTGACGTGCTTGTTGGTGTAATATCAACGGGGTAAGAGTTCGATTCCCACCGGGTCCACAGTTTTCATTTAAACATGTTGCACTTCGTCAAATCTGAATATAAAACAGGTGGTATGAATTTCGCCCGGGCCACGACCCACTGTCCCGTGACCCACAGTTATAAGCGTCAAGTTTAATCTCCATCCTTTTCT